GCTACTGCAACCTCCTGGGTCTTACTTCTCACTCAAATTGCTACAAAGAGGATCGTTTCCTAATTTCTCACTTTATTGCTACTATCCAGGAAAGACACATAAACCTCTTTTTTCTGGATTCCTAACTTTTTAAAATTTATTTATTTATTTCAAACAGGGTTTTATCACACAGTTCACACTTGTAGTGATCCTCCTGTGTCTGCCTCCCAAGCCCTGGGATTGCAAGTGTACACCACCATGCCCAGGGTCAAGGCTTGTGTGGCATGCCCATGGATCCAGAGTCAGTAAGGTATACAGTACCAGGGATCAAAATCAAGTCCTTGTGCTTGTCAGGCAGGTGCTTAGATGGCCAAACTATCTTCCCAGCCTAGACCTTTAACTGTTGATCTTCATATGATGATGAATTATATTATTTTTTTCTTCAGTCAATAAACATGTATAGAATGGCCATCTGGAGACAAATATCAGAAACGGAGCTCTTAGTCTAGAGCACTACAAAAAAGTATGAAGTACAAAGCACATGCATCCATGTAACAATGGTAGTACAAAAATAAACATTAGACCCAAGTTTTCAAAATGTACATAGTAGTTAATTGCATCTGAAGTTACATAGTATGCGAAGTTCAGGAGCTGCAGTTTCTCAATACCTGCCTTATCTGGTAGCCACTCTTGTTAGGTAGTGTCCTCCTTTGAACTATGCATTTAAACCACTATACACATGACTGCAATCAGCACAGTTAGAAATGGTACAATTTCTTTTCACTTAATAGTCCTTTCAAAGGGAGAATTCTCCTTTCACTCATTTCTTTGTGAGAACAGTTATTCAATATACACAGAAAATTTGTCAGTTTTCATACCGTGCTTATTGTTCAGAGTTAGAGGGGCAAAAAGTTCATTGTAGCCTAACTCAGGCCAAGTCAGGCAAACTTTTCCTGGCATGTAGAACAAGAAAGATGAACAGAAGCTTCTTGAGGTCTGAGTGAAGAACAGAGGAACAATAGGAACTAAACCTGTGGGCTCTTCCTTTGGCCAATGTCTTTTTGAGTAAACAACTTCACAATTTTTGTAGTATATATATAAACATAGTGAAATACTTCTCAATATCGTTGCAATAATGAGTGTGTACAGTTAGTTCTTAGAAGTATTTATTTTTAAAATTATATATTGATTATGCAAGTGAATAGTTGATTTTTTTTCTAGAAACTCCTGCTGCTTCACTTTGGAAAATGGATAGAGTTCTTATAGTCATTATTGTACTCTTACAAAAATAACACCGATGTGTTATTATATCAATTAGTCACACATTGTATGAGCTGACGATGAAGATTGGGAAAGGCTCAGCAAGGCTGGTAGTTATATGTTAAGACTGGTTAAAGTGACTTTCAGGTCAACTCCTTCTCAAAGTGATCATGAAGGTCAGCAGTAGCACCAGGCCTCTGCAGAACTGAGTTCCCTTCTGTCTGAACTGCACTTGAGAAGTGCAATGGAAACTCAGGCAGAGTGTGCTGAAATGACTCTTCTGTTTAGGGTGCTGCTGTGGAAGCAGTTAAGAAAGAACTTTAAGTGATTATCTTACTGATTGTATGTTATTCACGCTGTTCTCAAGGGACATAGATAGCTTGAGTAGTCAACAAACATTTTGGCCAATAACTTATTTCTATTTTTATTTGTGCCCTTTGCTAAACTACAGAATGTTTCTTGAATGTAGTATGAGAATCTGGAGGGCAGGCCAGATAGCTTAGCAGACTAAGCACCTGCTTAGGCAGGTGCAGGGGCTGGGGTTCAGTTCCTGGCACTACATGTCATGCTGGCTCCACCCCTACTATGGGCACACTGTCCTGGTGTGGTGATGCATGCCTGTAATCTCAGCACTGGGCAGGCTGAAAACAGGAGGATCACTATGAGCTCAAGCTGTGTAGTTAAACACTGCACACAAAAAAAGAAAAGAAAAGAAAAGAAAAGAAAAAGAAATCCAAGAATGTGTATAAGAAGAATAGTGATAGATTTGCCAGGCCTAAAGAGCTATGACAGGACCGGTTAGCAGGACCTAAATATGAGAACATCTATCCCCTTTTTCCCTAATAGAAAAGTTAAAGTGGTTCTAAGTTCTTCTTAATGATTATGTGCTTCAGGTAAATGAGAGAGAGAGAGACATAGAGAGGGAGAGAGAGGAAGAGAGACAGAGACAGATACAGAAACAGAGAGACAGAGAGAGACAAACAGAGAGACAGACAGAGACAGAGAGACAGAAACAGAGAGAGAGGGAGGATAGATAGATAGATAGATAGATAGATAGATAGATAGATAGATAGATGATAGATAGATGATAGATTCTATAGCATACACATGAAATATAATCAAGAGTGAGGGAAATTCAGTACTGATGGTCAAAATATGGAGCTTGATAACATAATAATATTTATTTTAAGACTGAGACATAACTTTTACTAGATCAATTACTCTATCTTCCATGCTATAGTTTAATACCTCTATTTTGAATTGAATTGATTTTTAAAACATTTGTCTTCAAGATACTACAGTATCTTGTTGCCTTCAAGATACTAGAGAATTTTAAGACTATTTGTAAAGTAGAGGTTAATCTTTAGAAACTTTATATGTCTTTATATTAGTGTTGTATAAAATTAACTTTCATGTTTTGCTGTGCTAGAGATTCAACCTGGAGTCTTTTGTATATTGCAAGTACATCATATGTTATATAAATACCAAATTAGTTGACCAATTAACTAGACAGATCACAATACTGCAACTAAACTTGGAATTGTTGAAAAGATGCTATTTAATTAAAGTAGATTTAATTGTTTCATGAATATAAGAGGGTTATCAACAATTCAGATTTGTATGTCTGTAAAGATTCATCTAAATGTAAATAAGGCTATTTAACATTATTTCAAGAGGAGTTAAATGGAAATCTTCATTATGGTAGGTGGCTTAGTTATAGTGAAGATTCAAATTTGAACCTGAATATATTTATGCTATACAGTTATCAGTAAAACACTACCAACAGTTTTGGTATTGTGACATTGTTCTCTCTGTCCCTCTGTCCCTGTCTACCTGTCTGTCTCTCTCTCTCTCTCTCTCTCTCTCTCTCTCTCTCTCTCTCTCTCTCTCTTTCTCCAAACACACAACACACCGAGATATGTATACACAAGCTCCTAATTTCCTCTATTCTCCTAGAGGCTTTTTAGCCAATTATTACTAAATCTTCCTTACTGATCATTTCAAGATTCATGCCATCAATCTATTTTCATGCATCAATGCATTTGCAACAGAATCAGGAATTTAAATTAATGGTTCCTTCATATATTGAAGTTCATGTAATACCAAAGGAAGTTAAGAGATCCAGCCCTGCTTTTATTTTCTATTGCATCATCTTGGGAATATCTGGAAATGCTTCTGTGAAGAAAATGTCTCAGGAAAATTTCTTTAAATCATTGTGTATATTTAATAAGTGTATATAGTCAGAAAGATATGCTTGTTCAAAATACATTTGTAAATCTTTAATCTTTTTTATTTTTAAAAATATATATATTTTATTAACTTTATTAAGATGCAAATAGTAATGAAACAGTTTCAAGACCGATTAGTAGGACAGTTTCAATAATTAACACATTGTATATTGTTGTCTTCATAGTGGTCATTCATAGTACAAGATGCAGACATGATATCTTGTCCAAACACTATTAGTAAAAATCTTTCTTCTCACTGAATTAAAAGAAAGTAGCTGTATATCTGTCCTAACTATTTTGAATATACAGACACAAAATGTCCTTCATTTGTATCTCCTTTTTTTGTTTAGTTTTGTCAAGCGATGGGCATTCCCTTGCCATTTAAATATTGTAGATGCGTGAATTCAGCAAAAATAATTCAATATTGTCTAGTAGTCCATAATGGTAGTGGGTTATCCACAGGACTGGCAATGTGAGAAGTCGTTGACTTGAGCCTTTTATAGCTCAGCACATTAATATGGCTTTACTTTTTGTACCTCATTTTTATACTTTTCTGCTGGATGGTTAAGACAAAGATAAAGCAAGACCTATATAACAAGAAATATAACTTTTGTATCTGACAAAGTCAGTCAAATCCCCTCAGGATTTACCTTGAAGCCCTGTACTGCAGTTTGTAGATTCTTTGCCAGTGTCAACCATGACACTGCCCCAAGTTTTTCTATTTCTTTTTTTAATTGCCTTTGCCACCCAGTCATTTCAGATCTTTTTAATCCTTCCTCTACCTGAACTGTACCATTGAACAATATTTTTCTTCATTATGAGGTTCTTTATAAAGCAGAGCTCTCAGAATTACAGAAGATACTTAAGTATGAACTGTTTTTAAAACCTTCAATTACTTCATGCAGTTTGCTAACTGAGCCACGTTTCTCAGTTTGGCATTGAGGGTAATTTACAATGTAGTCCCAATGATTGTTTCTTAGTCATGGGCCATCATCAATAAAATATGCAGATGCATTTGCAAGCAAAAAGTTGTGCATATTTTATGGAATTGCTAGAATTTATTTCCCATAAGATTTGGAAATACACTCCATCTATATATTCATATTTATCCTTTGTTACACCAAACTTCTAACCATGTTAGGTCACAAGCAACTTCAAGAGTGATACGATGTTTAATGTAAAATCACATTCTCATGCATCCTATAATGCTTTACAAATGTTTTTATCAAATAATGTGGACTCTGCAATCTCCCTTGAGATGTCTTTCAATGTTCTTATTCCTTTTGCCTATCCATGACCATTACCTGGATAACTTCAGACACATTTGGGAAAGAAAGAGGTTCTTTATCAGGTCACTCACTATTGTTCTTCCTAACAAATTATTTTATCTTGTATAAAGTAAGGTTCACTGAAGAACTTGGATTGTGCTCACTTTATTAGCACAATCTACATTCATAATTAAATTAAATATCTATTTAATTCATGTCAGATCAAACAAGTGTTCTAAGTAGTCCTTCTTTTTGTGTTTTCCAGGCTTCTTGAGTACAGGGGACCAGGCTGCAAAAGGAAACTATGGACTTCTTGATCTCATACAGGCTTTAAGATGGACTAGTGAAAACATTGGATTCTTTGGTGGTGACCCCTTGAGAATCACTGTTTTTGGATCAGGCGCTGGGGGTTCATGTGTCAATCTGCTGACTTTATCCCATTATTCTGAAGGTAACCGTTGGAGCAATTCAACCAAAGGTATTATGCAGGTTGCAAATTTTGACAATTTTGGTGTCTGCATGCCACCGCCATCAGTATTATGTGATGCTCTGTATATATTTCTGTTCCAACTGACTGTTAGGTTGAACGCAATGACTGTGTGAAGCTATGTTTCTTTAGCTCTTCTATGCATGTTTAAATTTTTGTCACACACTTTTCTTTGTTTCCTGTGTAGCTTGTTAAGGATGTCCTTTCAAGCACACTTCAGAATAGTTAGCATTAGACTTCTTTGTCTTGCTTTCAAAAGGTGATCTCAGAGAAAATCAGGCAAAGACATTCATAGTTCTGTCCTCTCTGTTTATTCAGTAATCAAAATCAAAAAATTTTTAGCACAGGGATTGTATATAATCTATTCTAAAGATAATAGACATGTAAAGCCCTTTATTAGCATGAAATTAATGAAGCAGCCATAAGCTAGATTGTCTGGAAATATGTTGACTTTATGTGTTTTCTGAAGGGAGAATTGATATTTGATTATTTTGCATGCATGATCCAAAATTGTCAAAGCATCAAGGTCAGTAGTGGAGCTTTTGATCAAAAAGAAAAATACATTTGATTTTGTGCTTTTTTTTTTTCTATTTTCAACTCCAAAAATGTTTCTTCCTCCAGATCTTGGCCTTCCAGCATAGAGCACTGAGGCTGCTTAACTCCATGAAATATTTTTCTTGTTTCCATTTGTTGGCTTTGACATCCAAAGTGCCTGTCCAAGGCTCATGCTGTTCTTCTTCATGGGCTCCATTTTACCATGTGTTTAATCACCCATTGTAACTGCATTATTAATTTGAAATATCTACAAGAATGAAAGAATTTTGCTGAAGAATTCTGCAAAGCAAATGCTTTCCATGTTTAATAGAGAGGACAATATGCATCAACTCAGAGCATCTTTTACTTTTTGCTTCTTAATTGTCATTTTATATATAATGAACTCAATTATTCACTGTCAAGTGTAATTGATGAAGCATCTTAAATGACATTAGTTTTGTGATATGAACACCAGATATACAATGTTGTAGTTATCAAAATATAGTAATGTGAATATCCAAAAGAACAGCTAGTTATTAAATTAGTATATATATATATATACATATATATATACACTAATATATATATATATATTATGTATATATATATAATGTATATAGAAAGGGGTCATGTTTCATGATAGATTAATTTTGTTGATATAGCTTATATAACATCTCTTTTATATTAGAATTCTGATTCAAGCTGACAAAATGATGCAGTTGAGACATCTTCTATTGCACAGAGATATTGATATGTAATGAAATGACTTATTTTGAAATAGCAAAAATTGGCTTTTAAAGAATAGATTACATTATTTTACTTTTAGTATGATATAAGTGGCAATATTCAGCTAAATTAATATAGAACAAGTTGTCTAAGCTTATCAGGTTAATTTCATAAAAAATGTGCACAGAAGCCAGTGTTAAGCAAATCAGTTACTTAGTCAACTAGCATTGCTGCTGTTCAACAATTGACAGTGCAAGGAATGGTTGTGAAAAAAATTGAAAATATAGCCCTGTACTGTAATCTTTAATAAACTTTGTCTACACCTGGTCAAAGACATGGGCTTAGATTTGATTTAGATCTAATGGCATCTCCAGAATGAGTTGTTTCTCTTGACTTGGAGGTGCAGAGATCTCTTGAAATTGTCTGCTTGATTTTTCTTCCAATGCAGATACTTGTATTAAAGGCTGTAAACTCCACAGAGAACTACAGCCACCATTAGACCTGTATCAACCATGAATCAATTACATCTTACATCTACTTAATTAGCATTCTCACCACTGATAAAATAAATAGCTTTCCCAACATAACCTAACTGGCAATTTTAGGCAATATTCAACACAATGTCTATTATACTTTAAATCTCTTTTGTCATATTCAGTTAATGCCATTAGAGTCCCTCTAACAATGAAGAATAATTTAAAATTCATCAGGCTTACTCTGGCTGTACAATGATTAATTTATAGAGTATTTCTCTGGGAAAATATTGACAGCCTACCTGTTTTTTAAAATTATTGGTATCTTAATATTTGCTTTAGCATATGTCTCTTTTGATCTAAAATATATTCATAGAGATATAAGAAATGAAAAAATGAATTAGTATTTTTTAACTTCTAATTATCTTAGGTCAAGTTACAGAATTTTTAATTTGTATGTGTATGTGTGTGTGCTTGGAGAAAAAAATGAAACTTCTAATTCAGAAAATGCATTAAGACTTTTGTAAAGAGTTAATTTTTATCACATATGAACAATTTATTATCTTTTTAATTGACTGAACTACAAAGCCACACCTAAAAACAGATAATGTAAAAAAAGAATACATTATATTTTGAATAGTGAATTTTATTTAGATATTGCCCTAAATAATAGAAAATTGCACTTGCAAATTTTAGTGCAAAACTGAAAATAAAGCTATTGAACTGCATATGGGGTAAAATTTAAATTTCTTAAATGCATGTAAGTAAAAAGCAGTAGACCATGTATGTTTCACATTTTTTGATAAAACTATAGCAGTACTCATTTGACAGTGAAAAAGATTATATTGCCCCTCACCAAATCCTTTGGTGGGTGTGTTATTTTTTTCCTTTGACTTAGTGAAGACATTTCAATTGTTGTGTTCTGAAAGCAGAACAATCAGAATATGTCTGACATGAAGACCTGGATAAAATATGTCTACAGTGACATTCTGTTTTGTGTGTGACCTTAGGGTCATCACCAGGGTATGAGATTTCAATTTTCTTCCAAATTGAATCTGGTTAAAAGAAACACACAGAATCATTTTTAAGAGGAGAGTTAGCCAAGTTGAGTTATTTACCTCAGACAACACCAAATTTTGTGGGTAGTCAAAGAAGAAAGGATTTGCTTCATCTCTGCTATCAACAGAAATGTGATTTAAATGATTTGTTGATTTTTAGAACTATGTTTGCAACTACTCATCTTCTTACTTGCCGCTGCCTAAGCCTACAAAATTTAGTGCTCTTCATCCTTCAGGCAGGTGCCATATAAAGCACTGGACCTAAGTCTACATTTCTAATTCATTATACCCTGGGGATGACTTTGTATACCATATCCTAGATCTCTATCTATCTACCTATCTGTCTGTCTATCATCTATCTATCTATCTATCTATCTATCTATCTATCTATCTCTCCTCTATCTATCTCAATATATCTAGATTTTTATATACATGTTTAAAATATATTTTATTGTTTGGCTGTAATATTTTTCAAGGTCATCTGAAACTCTTTATTGATTTTCCCATAGGACTTTTTCAACGAGCAATAGCTCAAAGTGGAACAGCCCTTTCCAGCTGGGCTGTTAGTTTCCAACCTGCAAAATATGCTAGAATGTTGGCCACAAAAGTTGGGTGCAATGTTTCAGATACAGTAGAATTAGTGGAATGCCTCCAGAAGAAGCCTTATAAAGAACTTGTTGATCAAGATATTCAGCCAGCCCGATACCACATAGCCTTTGGACCTGTGATTGATGGTGATGTGATACCAGATGATCCTCAGATACTGATGGAGCAAGGAGAGTTTCTCAACTATGATATTATGTTAGGAGTTAACCAAGGGGAAGGTTTAAAATTTGTTGAAAATATAGTAGATAGTGATGATGGTATATCTGCTAGTGATTTTGACTTTGCTGTTTCCAATTTTGTTGATAATTTATATGGATATCCTGAAGGCAAAGATGTTTTGAGAGAAACCATTAAATTCATGTATACTGACTGGGCTGACCGGCATAACCCTGAAACCAGAAGGAAGACCTTACTGGCTTTGTTTACGGACCATCAATGGGTGGCACCAGCTGTAGCTACAGCGGATCTTCACTCAAACTTTGGTTCACCTACCTACTTCTATGCTTTTTATCACCATTGTCAAACAGACCAGGTTCCAGCATGGGCTGATGCAGCCCACGGAGATGAGGTTCCTTATGTGCTGGGCATACCCATGATTGGGCCCACAGAGCTATTTCCCTGCAATTTCTCCAAAAATGATGTGATGCTGAGTGCAGTTGTAATGACTTACTGGACAAATTTTGCTAAAACTGGGTAAGTCCCTAAGAAATGAAGTTTACTATAAGTTTAATAAAAACATTCTTTTAGATATATTTTTAAAAAATGTATATTGTATCAAAATAAATTAATGAGACATTTAGCAAGATATCAAAAAATTTTATTCAACATTAATTCTATATTGTTGTGTCTCTAAAAACCATTTCCTTATTGGTATGCCCTTTAATTAATTTATTAAGAAAGATATATCTTTATTGCCTTAATTCATATTTAAGTATGCTTTGGTTTGCTTAATTACACATGATATATTTTTTAATTATGTATAACAAAAAAATTTCTACCCAGAGTTTTCCAGGTGAAAACTGTAAGTTCTTTGATCCTTCTAATTTGAGGTAGGCCACTCAAGCATAATTAATCTCTTCACAAAAGAAATCAGGGTGTCTATGAACTTTGTATAGATACTCATATGTCATGTATATAGCAATTCCATGACTTGTTTTTATTTTTCTGTTCCAAATCCCAAGTCTGTTCTACTCTACCATGTCATCCCTACTACGCTGCCAAATGGTATGACTCATATATATGTGAATATTTAAATAATTCCTAAAGATCTTTAATTAGATAGTAGTTCAGTACTAAATGGGCAAAGACAGAACAGAATGTGAAAATCACTTGCCTTCACTTACCACCTATCTAAAAATCTGCTTGTTAGGAGATGTAAATGTGCAAAGTGACCTCAGTTAATTTAAAACATAATCTAAAACCTTGCTAAGGGCCAGCAGATGGCTAAGTGGACTAAAGTGACTGCTTAGGGAGAGCACAGAGACCAGAGTGCAATTCCCAGTGTGCCGTGCTTGCCCCACCCCCGGGGCATACTGAGACTGCGAATTGAGGCTGGACGTGGTGGCGGATCTGTAATCTCAGTGCTTGGAAGGCTGAAAACAGGAGAATCACTACGAGTCTGATCTACGTAGTGAGATTCTGTAGACCCTGTAGACCCTGTACTAAATATTAATAAAAAAAAATAAATAAAACCTTGCTAAATTGCCTCTTTAAGTAATCTAGCAGAACTTAACTTTATTAAGAAAAAATAAAAATTTTGTTTTATAATTTCTTTTTTCTTTGCTAGTGACCCAAATCAACCAGTTCCTCAAGACACAAAATTCATTCATACTAAACCCAACCGCTTTGAAGAAGTAGCATGGACCAGATATTCCCAGAAAGACCAACTTTATCTCCATATTGGATTAAAGCCGAGGGTTAAAGAGCATTACCGAGCCAATAAAGTAAACCTCTGGTTGGAGCTGGTACCTCATCTGCATAATCTCAATGACATTTCTCAGTATACCTCGACAACAACGAAAGTGCCATCAACTGACATCACTCTCAGACCTACGAGAAAAAATTCTGTACCGGTCACATCTGCCTTTCCCACTGCCAAGCAAGATGATCCCAAACAACAGCCAAGTCCATTTTCAGTGGATCAAAGGGACTACTCCACGGAGCTGAGTGTCACTATTGCAGTCGGAGCCTCCCTGCTCTTTCTGAACATCTTGGCCTTTGCAGCCCTGTATTACAAGAAGGATAAGAGGAGACATGATGTTCACCGGAGGTGTAGCCCTCAGCGCACTACTACCAATGACCTGACCCATGCCCAAGAAGAGGAAATCATGTCTCTCCAAATGAAGCACACTGATTTGGATCATGAATGTGAGTCCATCCATCCACATGAGGTGGTTCTTCGGACCGCCTGCCCCCCAGATTACACACTAGCTATGAGAAGATCACCTGATGATGTTCCTTTAATGACACCCAACACCATTACGATGATTCCCAACACTATACCAGGGATTCAGCCCTTACACACATTCAATACATTTACTGGAGGACAGAACAATACTCTGCCCCACCCCCATCCCCACCCCCATTCACATTCAACAACCAGGGTATAGCCAGATAAGAGAAACAAACTATTTTTTGATGGATTACAGTAAAAGATTACTGAAGATTCCTTGGCTTACAACCTACAAGACTCTCAATTATTTAAGTAAGGAGGAATAATATGTGAATATACATATCAAGAACCTGGGGGTTTTGAAAATATGAATTGTATATATATATACACACACAAATCAACTTTAAAAACAAATTGCAATTGCTTGAAGCAATTGTTCTGAATGATACTTTTTCATTCACATTCAAGAATTAATTTTTTGAAGATTTAAGTTACATAATGGAATTAGGCATGTGGAACACCAAACAGGAAAGAACTATGTCTGAAATATAAAAAATAAAAATAAAAAACAACTACGAATATGCACAAGGGACACACCAATGGAATGTCAGATAATTTTCACCAGTTTTTATTTGGAGCCGTTTTATTGTGTAGACCATATTTACATATTTGGATAAGTACACAAAGCACCAATGCTGTTAATGGCCTTAGCAGAGGCTCATGCTGAAATTTGCCAGTAAAACAAAGAAGTTTAAAGACTGGCAGGTACAACACTCTCACATAAGTGCTGTCAGTATAAAGTTGTGGGGATAAAGGAAACTGGATATTTTTAGCACGATGTGCATGATAATTTATATGCTTGGTGGCTGTGCTGCTGATTAAGCCGTAATTAAAATTCTTCTCATCCCATTGGAGTTTTTAATAGAAGCTTCCTCCATCAATTGGCAGAACCTAAAGAAGATTTTAAGGGGCAAAAGTAATTACAGTAAAATAAGTCACAGTAGTGTCAATAATAGAAGGGATTAGTCATTAAAGGTACTTGAAGATACTATAGGTATTGTAAGGGATACTCGCTGATATGAATCCCAGAAAAAAATTTCCTGTGCTTTAATATTCTCTTCATTCTCATATAAATAATTTATAAAAATATAGCCCTAATTGGACGTGTGTTACAGGATCTACAGTTTGCTGTGGTTTCTATTACTCCTGTATTTTGTTCTTTTTGGTAAGGTGAAGTGTGTCCAAAGCATTACTTGCAACAGTCTTTTATGACATGAGGGTGCCCCAAAATTACCATCCTGATTACAGTTCCCCATCAATTGATTTATTCATGTTGCATGACAAAATGTTTAATAATAGTAATCCAATATAAAGTTATGTCCCGCTTCACATCATTTAACTTTCTCACTGAGGTTCATTCACAGAAATTTACTCACATAATCTCAGTAGAGTACAACATAGAAACAGAACCTAAGAGAGTTGACACCTGGAAGATTTTAGTCTTACACATGTGTGTGATTTTAAATGATTTTTAAGATCACAGGAAACTCTTCATCTCCGTGTTGTTTACCAATAATATCAGTACGTCACAGACCTTTCCAAATGTTTGTATATGTAATCAGATGTACATTTATATTAAAAAAAAAAGAGATGGACTTAAAGAGCACATCCTGATGAATACGTTCTCTCTTACCTGTACTATATTTCTATTAGACTAAAGTTATGTGATTTTTTTTTTACATTTTTTCAGACGACTAGCAATTTTGATAGTTTGTAAGATAATGCAAAGAACTTTCTCTGACAAACTAACTGCAGTAACAGAAACCTTTCTTTTCAGTTACTCTTTTTCAAGAATGAAAGCTTATTATACAAAAGAAAAATATTGTATACTACTTGATGGAAACAACTTTGTACATCTTGGCCATGTCACTGGTCATTGCGTGAAATAAAGATAATCTGGATAATGACTATTAGTCAAATGCTAAGAGACATGATTTTTGCTCATTAAAGAGCTGAAATGTTTATCGCTGTTTTGTCTTTTTTAAAAAACAAAAACAAAAACAAAAACAAAAGGAACATGACTGTCTCAGTCTTTTTTCTAGACCAGTTCGATTTTTGAAGACATACAAGTAACTTATACAGGAAACACACCCACGGATTTAGAGGAAAGTCTTAGCAAAGAGGACACATGTGAAGGTTTGACGTTATGAATTTATAAGCTTCAGGAACTCATGCAAAATACTAGCTTTGTATTTTTAGGTAACCCTTTTGAAAGTGCTGTAGAAGGAAAGTACCAATTGTTTTCATGTAGAAATTAGGTTTAATTTTTTTGATCATCAGAAAAGGTCTATTGGAAATAAATGTGTGATATTTGATGAAATAAAAAAATCTGTGTTCATAATGCAAAGGAAATTAAACTATCATGAAGTATTAGATGAAAGTTTGTCCTAAGAAGAATTTAAATGCTGAGCAAGAAATTAAATTTTCCCTAGAAAACACACACACACACACACACACACACACACACATAGAGAGAGAGAGTAATTTCTTTGATTATAATTTCTCCTCCCACTTATTAACTATCAGTAAAAGATAGATATTGTTCCATAATTTTAAATAAAAATCTCTGTTAGAAGTAAAAGTCTTCAAAATCCAGAGTGGTCTATATTCAATTTTTGCCTGATGTGGTTATGTTTTTAGACTGTGAACTGCTGTTGTAAACCAATAAAAAAAAATGTTTAGCATCTGAAGTACTGTTAATCAGAAAAGTGTCTCTAACTATATTAATTAAACAAAGGGTAAAAACAGAAAGAGAAGTACCAACAAAATAAGGTGTGAATAAATACTTTCATATGCATCATTACTTCATTTGGCAAAGTCAAGCATTTGATTGTTTTTTACTGATGGCCATCTTTTTATCTACATATCTATTGTTCTACATTTGTCAGTCAATCAGCTTACCTGTGCATAACATATGTGTCATCTATTTCATATTAATTTAGGGAAATAATTTAGGAAAACAAAGCATATTCCCATTTTCTTCTCTAAATTAAGATAGCATCTGACAAGTTGATGGAAGGTAAAACATCCAGGTTTTATTGTTTTCAAGTTATATGATAAAGTAACCGTGAATGGGTGTTGTTGTTAATTTTATAATTCCAGCATCTGGGTTTCTGTATGTAAAATAATGTTGCACTGTCAGCAGAATAAGAACTGTTTGTTTTTAAATTTTATTTTTATTAGTACATGTTTGCAGTAAATATGATAAAATTTTTCATGGAGATTTGATACATGTACTGTTTTTAAAGCTGAAACTTAATTTCTAAATGCAAGAATAAAACCTTGAGCATTTTATTGTTTTAATCTCTATGTTAAAAATGTATTCATTTATAAGATCATTTGCTTTAGGATAAAAAGTGGGTACCAAAATTAAAATACTATTTTGCATTATATATTAATTCAGATTTTTCTGCCTTGCATTAAGTTGTAAGCAAGCAAGGCTGCTTAGAATTACTATCATTAAACCCAAATCATCTCTATTTTATTTATTTTTTATATTTTTCCAAATATTTATCAAAAGATTGGTATTAGAGTATGAGGTAAGATATATTAAGGCAATAGTTTTAATACTTTCAAATTGTTATTAAACATGTTGACTATGGAAATGACTACTGCAGATAGTAAACAGATTTCATCAACTTTTTTGCAAAGTGGAACAAAATTTACTGAAACAGAAGAAACTTTCATTTGAGGCATCCCTCAGCTTAAAACAGAGATTGGGTGTAGGTTATACCAAATCTCAAAATTAGTTAAAATTATAATTTCATTCAGACATCTTGATCATCTGTTCAACATGAAAATTGCAACAAATTTTTTTAATTTTATCATCTGTAATGTTAAGTAGGAAAGAATGGTGGCAGTAATTTCATTAAAGAAAGAAAGAGCCAAAGCTCACTTAGGATGCCTATAATATATCCTATAACAACAGTTATTTCACCTGTTGGTGTATTCGTGGTGACACTTATATTAATCACAACAAAGAATATAAAGAATGTAGTACGTGTGTTCCAGATTTAAAGATGCTGCTACACAGAAATTACTGGGATTCTTTTCTTTGGCGAGTTTCACTGAAATATTTTCACAGGACAAAATGACAAATGGCATTCTTAGGAAGCTGTCAAACATCACGGCAGTCCTCTGATGTTAGTAATTTTGTTTTCCACTGTGTTATTGGTTCAAAGTACCGGCCTTTTCCTTCATTTCTAGTAATTAGTTGTTATAGACTATCACTTTTTAATGTCAGTGAAAATTAGATAATTTGTTATACTTGTGAAAACATGTTCCCAAATAAATTCAATTAATGGGCACTTCCCTGCTGAGATTTTGTTATCATTCTTTTAATTATCTTGCCAAGCTTTACTGTTACAGCAATTACTTTATCTTTTTAGTCAATAAACTAAGGGAATGTCTCCAACAGCCTTATACCTCTCCTGCACTTGTTATGTTAACAAGACACGCTTCAGCATTCCATCAGAAGCAACTAAAGAAATTTCTCACTGAAGTCAAATGTTCTATTGGCTGACTTGATTCTTTTTCATAAGCACAGTGATTTGATTTTGACCTGCCACTTTGCTGTATTTATGCGAAGGCCAAACATCCAACTCTATTCAGTTAGAGTTGGGAAGAATACAGTGACCATGAAATGACTATGTGCAGGAGTGAAGTGCCTTTTCCTTCTGGAATTCTGATTATAAATTTTTTGTTTGAATTTGCAGGTCTTTGAATTTGAAAAGTTAAAATAGAATGACTATGCTATCAATTGCTAATAAGACATTTTTATTTTGAAGTGCTTGCATCCAACTTGATTTTTACATGATATCGAATGGGCTCCAAAAACTCCTTGGAAAGAATAAAGTCAATTTTTAGGAAACAATAATTATTTAGCTATCTGATGTGATGGTTCTTGTGAAAAAACATTATATCTTTA